CCCCACAGGGGCCGTTGGCCGGGGGGGGGGGGAGCAGCCGCAGAAGCGTTGCAGAGATGGGCGAGGCGCTGGGGAGGCATAGTGCTGCTTCGGGCTGGAGGAAGACGGGATGTATGTTCAGCAGAGCTGGGGTGGGCAGGCAGAAAGTGCTGCAGGGGAGGGGGTGGCCTCAGTTGTTGACAGGCAGGCGCTGCGCTGGCGGTCTCAGCCACGTTGGGGACAGCGAGAGAGGAAGTGGGATCTTAAGGGCGGTCGGCAGTTCCGGGGGGGGGGGACAGGCAGTTTTCCCAAGGGCCCTCAGAGGCGCAGCTGGCTTACCTAGAGGCTGTGGAACTGAGCCGGGAGCATCAGCAGGAGGACTGAACACTTTCTCCACCCCACATGGGGCTGAGCCAGAGGCCGTCGGCCAGCCTGTTGTGGCATGGTTGGAGTTGCGGAGCTGCGGGAAAGTAAAGGGCTGGACAGGGGCGCGAGCTTCTCACGCGGTGGCTTTCCAAGAGGTGCCTTTTGAGGCTGTTGGCAAGTGGCATGAGGGGGAGGGAAGGACAGCCCAGCCAGCCCCGTGGAGAGTCCCGTCCGCCCCCTCCATTGGCTCTGAGCACACTGAGGCAAGACGGTGCCGGCTGCCTCTGTGGGTGGGTAGGCAGGACAGCAGCCATTGGTACAGTGTCTGAGTGACAGGCCACGGAGTGAAAGGCTGTGGTGGCGTGTGGAACATTGAGGCAAGAGGAACACAAAAACTCAAATATATTAAGGAGAGATTCCTTCCTGGCCAATAAAGCCCCTAATTCTCCGTAAGAAAAAGGACATCTTCCAAGAAGGAAACTTAAGATTCTGACGATTTATCTTCCAAGAAGGAAACTTTAGATTCTGATGATTTGAAAGGATCAAATGAAGGTTTGCTCAAGTCCTGTAACATTTTAGAAAGGTTCCCAAGCAGGCAACCTATGGCTAATGGGAGGTGCCAACTTTATGGTTCCTTTGAGGAAAAGCCAAATATGCCTACAAGAAAAATTACGTGGTCCCACATAGCAGCCAGTGCTACAAGGCAAATATGCCTACAAGAAAAATTATGTGGTCCCACATAGCAGCCAGTGCTACAACCTGTCTTTTAAGGTATCCAGTCTTAGAACCTGATTCCAACCTTCGCGCAGAAAGGGAATGATGTCTTTGTAAGTAGGTTTCAGTGGATCCAGCTTTTTGGTACTGGTCCACTTTTGAATGTCAGCAACGTATAATTATAGCGACGACAGGTTTTCTGGACTGTACCATGATGTGAACTACTTAACTTGGAAGGCCCAATCCTTCTAAATCCGCTCGCTCTAAGCTGGCAGCTGGAGTCAAATAGGGTCTGGGTGGTGAACTGATTCTTGTACAAGGAGAACCCATCTGCTTGGTGATCGCCACAGTGGAGATACGGACGTTTTCACTAGTTCTGAGACCCAAAAACTTCTGTACCAGAAGGGAATTATGAAAATCAGCCCCATCGCCTCCTTTGACACTTTGTTCAGGCCTCAGCTGATCAGTGTGGTTGAAGGGAAGGCGTACGGCAGACCACTGGGTCAACGGCAAGTGTGTGTGTCCTCGCCCTCTGCCCTGGGATCATAGAAACTGGCTAGAAACCTGGCAACTTGACTGTTGCTTAAAGCTGTAACAATATCCAAGATAGAGATTAAAAAAAATGTGTGGTTTTGGCAGAAGATCTTTTTGTTTAGACTCCGTTCTCCTGGATCTAAATCCTTCCTGCTCAGCCAGTTGGCTTGGAGATTTGTAAGACTGTACAGGTTTCCTGCTTTCAGGCCTACCAAATTTTTCTCTGCCCAATCAAACAGGATTTTGGACTCCTGGAAGCAGCCACCCTACTGACATTTTCCTGAACTGTCAAACCCACTGGGAAACGCCTCAGAGGCTTGGAGGAGGGGGAACTGCTGTGCCACCCCTGCTCGGGTCAACCCCTTGTTCGTGTTGGAGGTCCTTATCCCACTGCCCCTATGTATCTTGGGGGGGGGTCTCACCATCTCCAGTCCTCTCACAGACTGTAGGCCCGGAAGACTCCGAGTCTTATGAGGTGGGCCACCCACTACAATCTCCTCATGGTTCTCTGGACCCAGTAGAGCTCTGCTGGGATTTTCCAGTGCAGTCAGAGGCCAACTGGAGAGTGACCCAAAGCCTCCGGTCTGCCAGCACAGACAGTGGCCCATGATGCTGCAGATGCATCCACTGTTTACCAGTCTTCAATGCCTGAAGCCTTAGGCAGGAGAGGCATGTCTCAGCTCTCCCCATTCTTTCCAAGACCAACAGTGGGGCCCTTCCTCAAGGCCTTTCTGTCTTCCATAACAAGCATAGTTCCCTCTAAGCTGCACTATGGGGTGCTGGCACACAAAATTGTAACAGGCAGCGCAGGCAGCCCACAAGGCATTTCCCCCTCCACTGGAAACAATGGAAGATGGGAGCACCTCCTTCTGGGGCCCATAGAATTGGACCCCTTGAACTTTTTGAAACTTTGGGTGTGGGCTGGCTGTGGAACAACCCAAAGCTTTGGGTCTGCCACTGCCAGCACAGACAGTGGCTTGTGTCGCTATGGGGTATCTGCCACTGGCCAGTCTCTGGTGCCTGGAACCTCAAAAGCAGGTGAGGCTTGTCTTAACGGTCTCTTTTTTTCTTTTTAAGACTGGCAATGGGGCCTTTCTTCAAGGCTTTCCATTTTCCCTACCAATAAGGGAAGAGTCTCTAAGAAAGTGGAACTAGGCTCAAGCGTCCTGCTGGAGTGGCAGGGCTACTAAAACTGGTGAGCCAATACTGTCTACACACATTTGCATACCCCTGCCTGGAGCGAGAGGAGGCGTGACCTAACCAGTTTGGATGACTTTCCCCACTGAAGGAGAACACACATTTATATTTTGAAACCAACAACTAGATGCTCTCAGATGTGCGTATGCATATTTTCGTGCACAGAAGGGCACCCGCTATACACTTGCATTCTTTCCAGCATATGACTGAGTCTGGACATCATTCAAAACAGGAGTTCTCTGTACAGAGGGGTGCTCCAGAGCACTCACACTGATATGTAAATTACTTGACTGGGGCATGCTATAACAAACACAAGAAAGCAATGGAATTTCATCCTGATACGTAGACATCTTGGATGAGAGGTGATTCGTACAGTTTTTCCCAAAATGGAGGTTAACCTCTATCAGAAGAAAACATACCTTTAAAATGCACGCATGGCTTCACCAGCATTTTTTGCAATTCCTGCATGCTGACTAGGGAGCCACTTCACATGCATGTGTGTGTATATCAAAAAGATATTTCCTCCATCAAGCTCAAGAAATGGGCAAGAGGGAGGGTACAAAGTTTCATCTCATCAGGAAGAGTAAACTCAGAAGTAACTTTGAATTAAGAGTCAGTCATTGGGTTGGATCCAACCAGCTTTCCTACTGGTAAAAAAGGGAGAAGAGAATTCCCTTTGACAACCAAAAAGTCTATGCTGGAGATCAAGTGACCTGCATTGACAAAAATCATGCGGTAATAGGGAAGGGAACTGGATGAGACAGAGTGAAAAGGCCAGTAGGATTCAACACAGCAGGTTCATAGAAAATGACAAGAAACAGGAAAAGTTATTATCTATCAAATCCTGCACTTTCACAGGTAATTTCAAAGGCAGAGAAAAGATGTAGGTAGTGGCATCAGTCCACAGTAGAATCCCCCCTCCAAAGCCATGTAATGTCTTATTAAAAACAAGAAAAATAACAACACAACACAGTCTGCACATGTCTGAAGACAAACACAAATGATGAGAAGGAGGAAGACAGAGAGAAATTCTATTCCTTGACCAAATTGCATCCATTATAAGTGGCACACGGACCAGTGAAGAGAAACATTACAGCACTATTGGTTAGATCCAGCACAGTGTTTCCGTGGGCACAAAGGTCTTCCACTCACAAAGTGGAATTTTCGGATTTCCTCCCTCCTGCAGCAGCCCAAGACACCTCTTGAAATCTTGCTCCCGGGGCAGAGGGGGGACCCCCAGTACAGATTTGGGGGGCAGGCTACTAGGCAGGGGGAGATGAACATGAACGCATGAAGCTGCCTTATACTGAATCAGACCTTTGGTCCATCTAGGTCAGTATGTCTACTCAGACTGGCAATGGCTCTCCAAGGTCTCAGGTAGATATCTTTCACATCACCTTGACCTGGCCCTTTTAACTGGAGATGCCAGGGATTGAACCTGGGACTTTCTGCATGCCAAGCAGTTTCTCTACCTCTCAGCTATGGCCCCTCCCATAAAGTTGCACTCCATGGGCAGAAGTCCCTGTGCCTGCAGAAATGGTGCACTGAATCCAAACCATTTTCTCTTTCAAGTATAAATACAGAAATATATTAACTGGGACTTACCCCATGTGCTGAACAAACTTTACCATTAATACCAACAGGGCAACTGCTTATGTTCAGGGACTGAATAGATAGGCACTTTCTGTCCATGCACATCATATAAGGACCACATGGAGCTCCATCTTCCACATATCCTAAGTCTGTATCGTCATCTAAACGTACATGAGAACCACTGCAAGAAGTTTCAAAGCTCCTGTTACCATAATTGACATGCCACAAAGGGTATGCAATCCACTCTGAGAGACAGGCACTAAAATTATATACATTACTAGGAATAAGGCCTGTTGTGGAAATAAATACAACAAGATCTAGAAAGAGGCTCTGGGTGGGTGTCCTGGCCTTGGGCACTCAGCGTCAATTTGCTGTGGCGAACTCAGCAGACTATAATGACACAGAGTTTACTGTTTTCTCCAAGGGAACCGATCTCTGCCATCTGAAGAGCAGTTGTAATTCTGAGTAACCCTCAACTGGAAATTGGCAATAATGTGAAAGAGGCGCTGGGGGGGTGTCCTGGCCTTGGGCACTCAGCGTCAATTTGCTGTGGCGAACTCAGCAGACTATAATGACACAGAGTTTACTGTTTTCTCCAAGGGAACCGATCTCTGCCATCTGAAGAGCAGTTGTAATTCTGAGTAACCCTCAACTGGAAATTGGCAATAATGGTTCCCCAGGAGGAAAAGGCTGGTTTGGCAGGTAGAGTCTATGGCATTGTACCTGTCTGAGGTCCCACTCCTCCTCAAACCCCACCCTCTCCAGGCTCCACCCCTCAAATCTCCAGGAATTTCCCAACCCGGAAGTGGCAACCCTATTTCCTTTCCAGCCAACCATCAACATACCAATATCTGCCCCTCTGACTTCAGGTTTC